AGAATTCCTACCTATTTAAAAAGTAAATAACATTTTAATGGTTTTATATCAATGAAAAAATATCAATCTCCAAAATGTTGGTAGTAATTTCAAAAAAACCATGTTTCCTACAACTATTATATTACATAGACATTAAAAAAAAAAAAATCATAATTCACAATGTAATATAATCTGAAATTAAATAACGATGAAATAATGAAAATCATAAGGACAACTGTCAAGTTGACTTAGGTAATATAGTAACTTATAACTTAATATTCTTTCAATTGTTTGTCTACCTTATAGTGATACTTTTATGATTAATATTTACTGTTTATTATTTTCGAAGAGTGAGAATGGCTGATCATTTACTTTCAAATGGATTTTATGAATCCATTGCCTCTGACTTCACCCAAAATGAACTCGTCTGATTACATTACACTGTTATTGCAGACTATTATAGTATTATGATGTGTATCTCAAAACATTTCATTATTATTAAACAAAGACATTTTTTTTTTCATATTTAAAAATTTTGCATAATATTAGCCCGTTCCAATATAATTCCCAAAATAATTAAACATTCACTATGAAATATTATATTTCTAATTACTTAGAAAACTACTATTCAGCATTTAACGTGACGAAGTAGTTTTCTCCGAACTGGCTGTCCCGCATATTATAGTAGTTGGTGTCATATTTAAATCACAACCAATAATAGATATTTTTCATCATTTCGCTATTGACATAGACATTGTAATTTCTATTGCATTTGTCGAGTTCAAATTTCAACGATATATACCATAGAAGCTACTTATACTATTATATTGTATTGTTTGTAAATCTGACAAAAGTAATTTGGTGTTCGTACATATATGTGCTTAAATACATAATATGTACTCTTAAATTTTAGATTCTGGTGGACTGATGATTACCTGCAAGGGTGGTAAATTATTCCAAAGGTAAATGCCAAAAATCACCTGTTTTAGATTCTGAGTGGAACGATGAATTTATTGATTTTACAATGATGTGTGTTTTTTTTTTAATTTTATTTTTTGTCTCTGTGTACACGATAAGTAGTCGAAATAATGCTTCGATTTTTAACTTCAGTATCTTGTTCGATTGGAAAGTGAATATTGTTGGTGCATTCGGGAGGTCAAATTTTAAAATTCCCAATAGTTTTCACAAGCGCCGGGATTAAACACATAAAAATTAAGGAATAACGGGAATTTTTCGACTTTCGTTTTTGCTGTAACTTTAAAACAAATTACCGTAGATACATGAAATGTTCACATAATATTTCTATACACAATAATATTTTCAAAATATTTTCATTTATTTTGAACTATTTAGGGACATTTTCTGTTTCTAATTTTGTTAGTTTTTTTTTATGAATATCAATAAAGTTTTATTTGTTGGGCCAAAAAAAGTAAAAATTTAATCCAATGCTCCTGATATATTGTTACAATAGCAGTTGAAAAATATTAAAAATACACAGGCACTGTTTTTTTTGATAAGCATTTAAAGGTCGAATTTTTACATAATTTATCAAGTATAAAATTGAATAATTATTTTGTAGTTAAAAATATTTATAAAATGTTCAACTTTTATATCTAAGGATTGACAATTTATAACAAGATTCCACTTAAGTAGTCAATTCTGTTACAAAAAAAATCTAAAAAATATTTATCACAGTTTATTTTTATAGCCATTTTAAGTTCAAATTTGGACGAAATTACATATTAAAAAACCTAGAATAACTATTTTAGTTATTTTGTTGTGATTGTATATTATTCGTGGGTACTTGAAACTTCTAAAGTATATACTATTATATATCTATGATAGTATCACGGTTTGTTATTGATGTATAAACGATTATAAGTACCTAATGGATATTGTGATATGATTAATTTGGAATTTATTATACGTACCTATTATAGGTCAATTTTTTTTTTTAATATCATAGATATGTATAATATAATCTGTACCTATATATCTACCTAGACTGACATACCGTCTCCACTCAAAATCGTTTTTCTTATACAATGATATTATATCATTGAATTCAAATTTAATACCATCCATTATACAGTGACCCACTTGTAACCTACTGTACAGCAGAGCTCCTTTTTTTATTTGATTCCTTCATGCACGCCATTATACAAAATATTATACATATATTATGACCTGTATTTACAAATAAGGAAAGCATTGTTTATCTAAATGTAATTGTTGAGAGTTTTAATAAAAACAAATTATATTACTAATTAGTAATAATTTATAAACGTGCCTTTTTTTTACCTGCCACGGACTTGCCATCCCTGTTATTGGCTAGGTATGTAATGTGTGCGACACGACACTTTTTACACCAAAAAATTTGAAAATCTTCAATATTGATAATGATTTCTAGAAGAAAATTAAATCTAGTTTATATATTATGGTAGCTGGAAATACAAATTAACAGTCATTTTCTAAATAAAAGGGAGACTCAGGAATATTTACCCGTTAACTCTAGTTATCGACAAAATTAATTTAGTTTTGATATTGCAATTTAAAAATGGACAACACTATGATAGATAATTCATATTTTCACGAAACATTCATATTAGCGTATTATTATCCTAGACATAATATAATATTTTCAAAATATATTCCCTCTTTTTGAGCAATTGAAATACCTAGGGGTTTTTATTTGACATTTTTAACTATTTTGTTATTCGGTTTATGTTGATAAAATATTATTCTTTACTCAAAAAGCTCGAAAATAGAATACAAGGTTCCTAATAAATTTTTATTACAGATATTATATTTATAATACCAAATATACATTTGAACCATTTTTTTTTAGATAATAGAATTTTTTTATGAATATTTAAACAAAAAATATCAATCTCAGAATTTTAAAACTTATCGGAATTACCTATATTGTTATTCTCTTTAAGCGCACAATTAGATTGTCAAAATATTTAAACTAATTTCAAGCTATTCAACCATTAATTTATATTTTATTCACATCGTTCATCATGGTACTCACTTATCATTCAACGACAATAATATATGCAATATTTTTGGCAAGAATAAGTTCAAAATACTATATTACTAATACAAATATAAACTACCAATACTGATATAAATAAATTATAAAATATCTTTAGAAATAGATACATATCTACTCCACTCAAAATCGTTTTTCTTATCCAACGATAACAGCTTTTTGAAAATAATATACCTTTACAACATTTTAAAACTGTATTATTATACTAAAAGAAATAATTTTAGTAAAAAATATATAAAAAAAATCATGTGGATGGTGATTAATGACATCCAAATAAGGTGTGTCACAAAAAGATTTAAAACATCATTCTGGATACAGTCAAGTGATTAGTACGTATTTAAAATATAAATTCAAGTATGGCAACCTGCATATTCTCCGAACTACATTCAAGTAGTGATTGAACAACAACAACAATGTATAGACAATCAGTGTTAGGTACATATTTATGTAACCATAACGTGGGCTCAAAATCGTTCCATTTTAAATTTTCAATATCATATTAGGTACTTATGACAAGGTTAAATAATTTATTTTGAAAAAATTTCATGATAATACTACGTCTCGCCTGGTGAGTTTCATAACTGACCCCCCCCCACCCCCCCCCCCCCCCCAAAAAAAAAAATTACAGGGACCACGAAGTTAACCTAGACTACGGGACGCAGGACCGTCGATGCGTCTTGGCGAGTAGGACAAATCTTCCGAAATCGTAAGTCACATACACTGGTATACGAGTTACGTAATATCCACGAGTCGTGAAAATAACGCATACTGCATTGCTGTTTCTTATGATCTATAATATGTATAAAAATTGATGCATGTTTGGATAGAGCCTATAGATTTGAAACTATATAGGTACTAAATAATATAATGAGCACCAGATTTTGTAAAAATATTCACATATTTCGTGAGACTATATGGAGTGTAGGGTAGCTTTGGTTTCCAACCCCCATAGAAAAATATAGGGCTATAGGGCTTTTTTTCTAGTTTACCTTTTTTCGCGACAAAATATAGCCTATCTTCTTCTCCAAGATCTAATCTATCTTTATAACAAATTTCATAACAATTGGATGAACGGTTTAGGCATTTATAAAGGACAGACAGACAAATATTCATTTTTATATATAAACATAAGGTTTTCCATTGGTTACACAGAAGAAATATCTGTTACTAATCACTATATCCACAACAGGTTGATTACCCATCTTGGCTTCACTTATCCCCGGACGGATACAGATATAGGTAATATTTTGTCGAATTGGTGGCATTTATCTACACCTATGAGGTACATTAATATTTTAATAATGCAATTACCTAAATGTATCTAAAATGTACCTATTTAATAATGTAGCCTAAAATTGAAAATCGACAACTACAATATGAAACCTTCGGTATAACAGTATTATCTAAATCGTTTTTCAAAAACGATGGACCTACATAGTACTTTTTTGAATAACAAACAATAAATTAAATATTTATTTATTTTAAAAAAAGCCCATAGCGGCGCATTGCGGGTTGGCTGGTAAAATAGGTACAATATGTAGGCACTTTACTCTCTTATTACACACATATTGTTTCATATTGTGGTTTGGGCCACGAAGAGCGGGGTTGCGCCGCCGCAGAAATGGCTGATTGGCTGCGACGGCAACACCGAGTCACCCGATGCTGCGTATACCTATACCATGGTACACGGCGATACTCGACAAGCGTGAAAGCGTAACTGGCACGGAGCATCCGAACCAGTGTCGCAAGCGTTATAAATATGAACGGGACACACGGTTCGACTGTCAGTAGTGATCGGTCGTCGATCGCGTGCGCAACCGCAGGCCGCCTGCAAGACTCGATAGCAATTTATAATATTATTATATTATACGTCATAAAATTGTCGTTTTAGATAGTTCGGATTATACATACATGCGGTGCGTATACATCATAATATCGTAGTTGGTTGGTCGCGTATACAGTCGACATGGGGCCCACCAAGCTGTTGGTGTATTTCGCGCTGTGCTTCGCGATATTCGCGAGGTCCGGTTATTCGCGCAAGATTCCCGTCGAACCGGCCGATGAAGCCACGATGATCACCTCGCCGATGACGGTCGCCGCCACCGCCATTACTGCCTCGTCGGCGGCGGGAGGTGATGACCCAAAGGCGGTGGCCGCTTCCCAACATCAGTCGTCCGCGGTGGCACCACCGCCGCCGTCGTCTGCTCTGGCGGCGCCGGCACAGGATCAGACGGTGGCCGCGTCCCACAAGAAAAAGAAAAAGAAAAAATCGTCAAAGTCGTCTAAGGGCGGTGGGTCGAAGAAAAAAGCCGAAAAACATTCGAAGAAGGGTCACAAGTCCGACAAAGGCTACAAGACCAAACACCATTTCGACAAAGGTGACAAGGGCAAACACGGCAAGGAGGAGCACGAAGGCCACTATAAGAAGGAAGGTGGCCACAAAAAGAAGAAACACGACGAAGCCGAGAAGTACGGTCACCACCACAAGGGCGAGAAGGGTCACAAGGGCGCTAAGTTTGGTGAAAAGAAAGGCCACAAGAAGGGGCACAAGACGAAAGGGTACCACAACAAGTTCCACAAGGACGAGTACCACAAGGAACACAAATTCTACGACGACTTCCACAAGGGTGGACACCACAAGAAACACGGTGCGCATCACAAGAAGCACGAGAACAAGGAGGGCAAGCACAAGAAGGGTAAACACCACAAGTCGGGACACCACGCAGACAAATATGGCAAGAAGGGACACAAAGAGAAGGGCCACTACGACAAAGAGCACAAGGGGCACAAGGGCAAAAAGGGACACGATGAACACCATTCGCATCACGAAGACTACGGCAAGAAAGGTGGACACAAGCACCACAAGAAGTACGGGTACAGCAAAAAGAAGCAAGGATAAACCAACGGAGACCAGCCCCAAATTATATTCACGTACTGAAACACTAGTTTGTTTTACCATTATTTTAATTATTATATCCTGTTTGTTTGTTATTTATTGTTTTGTTTATTGTCTTGCAAGTATGATATATATATTTGATATATTTGATATATATTATGGTAATAATATAATAGCAAAAAAAAATAACTAAATATGGTCAATTTTATTTTCTATTCAACGTACCTATTATCGCTTAATTTTCACTCCCCCACTACGACCAACTTACTTCGTTATAGTAATAAGGTTTCAACGATCGGTTTGTATCGATTAGACACATTGCGCAATTTAATCAAATATTCGTACAAAAAATAAATGTAGGTAGCTATATATATACCTATATATACATAATATACATAACAGCCAGCAAAACAGAGCTCTGCCATGACCGGTGACACCGGCTTTGCGCCTAACACAGGAGGTCGTATACATATTATTATCACACCTGTTAGAGTGGGCCGCCAAGAGTGGATGTGCGTCCGTGACGAGACGAATGAAAAAAATAGCTGGACGAAAATAATGCAGTGACGGAGTTGGGCACTCGTCTTGATATTCGTTCAACCTTGACGCACAATAGTGTATAGTGGTGTGTTGTGATATTATACCAGCTGTACTATATGAATTCGGTAGATATATTAATATAATATGCGATAAATCAAAAAAGATTCTGACGCGAGGAGGAGATCTGAAGAAAAACCCGAAATGTCTTCAATATATATTTTTCTTTCGTCGGCGGTCAGTACTTCTGTTTTCCCCGCGATTTGAGAAACTGTTGAAAATATACGATCCGAACCAGGTTTTCGAAACTCAAAATATATGCTACACGAAACTTTTTACCCGAAAAAGTGTGTTCCCGGATAAATATATAACAATAAAAAAACATCATTGTAAAGTGTAAACTAATACGCGGGATCGAAATCTAAAACTTTCCGAATAAATCATGTCATAAGACGTACTGAAAAAAAAACAGAGTATTATTCACATTCAATTTGTCCGAGTTTAGTACTTTAGTAGGTACCTCAATCACCATGGAAACTGCAACAACTTAATGTTGAACAATATCATTATTTTACGCGAACAACAGCAGATACGTCATTTTTTTTTTAATATGTTTTTGGCTTTAAGTCCAAAAATATATTATTATCATAATATTCAACTAAACTTGTATAATGACCTCGCTCGATCAGACCAACATAATCTACGGTAGGTTCTCCGGTTCTCGCATATAATACTTAATATAGCTCTAAGCCGATTTGGTCTGGCTGTAAAACGTTTGCTCATTTTTAAAAATACGTATACGAATAATAATAATAATTCCTTGAAGATAAATCTATTCTGGTGGTAAAATAAAATATTTTTTAAACATTTTTTTTTTTTTTAATAACCCTAGAGATTCGTTTAAATATTTTATTTATTTTCTTCACTCTTCTGAAAATCATTTTACGGTCTGAAACATTTTTTAGCGACGACCACTGAACAATAGTGTGGCGAAGTGACGATAAGGTATATCGTATATCTATAGTGAATGAATAGTTTTACTCGTGTAAGTATGAAAACAATTCGTCATTCTATCGACACGACTCGTTCGGGTGAAAATAATATATTTTTAACTCATGTACTATAATTTATTGTTATTGTTATTCACCGACTTACCGTCAATTAATGTATTCATAATAACGAAAAACGGAGAGAAAAGTTATAGACGATCGTATATTAGGTAAATAAATTATTATAATTATTATTATATTGAATTGCGTAAATACCAGCATCTGAGGCGGTGGCGACACGTTAACATTTACGAACTGAAATTTTCCAGACACGAGACATTATACAGCGTGATTCAACAAGCATAGCATGCTCACCCCTTTTTTTTTGAAAAACTATTTTTAAGGGCTGTTATCATTAGTACAAATATTTTAATAACTAAGAAACTACTCATTTGAATTTTGAATTAGGTACATCAACATTTTTAAATAAATTATCCACAAAATAATTTACAGTAAAAAAGGGTGATAGTGTTAAGTAAGTTCCACAGGACCCTCCTCGAGTAGTACATACTAAACAATTTAAGAATTTAAAAATAATATCTTTGGGTATATTTAAAAATTCCAAATATCAGAATTTGAATATATTAATTATTTCAGGAAAAATGGGGGTGAGCGTGCTTGGTGAATCACTCTGTAAATTATAATTTAATAATCGAAATAATAACAACACTACCTGTACCTACGTATATTATACGAAGAGGTGTATAATAATATTATATTGTATACGGGCGGCGGCGCGAACGTTCGATTAATTATAATTTCTGCACAAGCGATCTGCAGACGGATTTTGTATGTTTATTGTCTCTTAATCTTCGAAGCACGCGCGTACCTATCATTAAATTATAATAATATACCAGCCGATAGGAGCATAATATGATAGTAATAATTATATTATTGAGTTGCAGCGGTTTGTAGGTGGCTTATAATATTATTATTACGGTTATTTGACATTAATTATAATTATTATAGTTATTTGTTATTAATTATTATCAGGACGTGTCGATATCGGCCCAACCGAATCGCGTGGTCCGTGGTGCATGTACAAAAATCGTACAGGCCATTGTGAGTGACTTCACCGCCGTCGGTCTGCGACTCTGAAACAGTTGCCGGTTTTTGTTTTGCCATAATATATTTTATTCGCGCTGCTAAAAACAAAACTACTTATTATTTAATTGTGTTTATTTTCTCTTAATCTTCGCAGCACGAGAGTATCATTAAATTATAATAATATACCAGTCGATACGAGCACACTATGATAGAAATTATGTTATTATGTTGCAGCGGTTTGTAGGTGGATTATAATATTATTATTACGGTTATTTGACATTAATTATAATTATTATAGTTATTTGTTATTAATTATTATTCCGACGTGTCGATATCGCTCTAACCGGGTCCATCGTGTATGTACAAAAATCGGACAGGCCACTGTGAGTGATTCCGCCTCTGGTCTGCGACTGAAATAGTTGTTGGTTTTTGTTTTGCCATAATATATTTTATTTTCGCTGCTAAAAAGAATACTACTTATTATTTAATTTTGTTTACCGGTACCTACGTTGTAATGATAAAATAAAATAAATATATTAATTATGGGTGCCCTATATATAAACGTTCACGAATTGTTGTTGACCCATTTCGCCGAGCGTTGTATGCACATCCGTTGCCGCCGGGGAAGGGGTGGTTTTGAAAAAAATAATTATAGCTCGGAACGAGTCTACTGCGTTTGCTGCAGCTTAGACCATTGTATGTATACATTTTAATATCGTTGGGCGTGATCACGTATATTCAATATTTGCACTTTACTTAATATATATATATAATGTACTACTCACCAGCACCTACACAGATTCATAATATCATCGACAACGACGATTTAATCAAATATTTTTAATTCAATTTTTTCCTTTTTATCGACGACCTATAATAATAAATTGTAATATTGTGTAATGCGCAATTAAATCAAAGTAAAAATATTGAAGTTGAATAATAAACGAAGGTTTCAAATATAGAAGAATGTGGCAGTGTATGGGTATACAACGACAAAGGGTGTCTCACAAATTGTTTAGTTCGCACCTCGTAGGTATATAAATATAATTTATGATGAATAAAAATAATTTATTGTGCATATACGTAAATCAATATGACATATTATTATACATATCAGTCGATACTTGGGTTGAGAAAATATGGAACGATTACGTCGGTTACTGGAAAAACTTAGGTACAGACGACGAATGTCATTGGCTTATAATTTATTATTATTATTATTATCATTCCATTTCACCAGGTCGGGGGTACAACAGTTGAGCATAGCTACCCTGACGTAGGTTAGGTTCAACACGCTGTTATCAGGTCACTATATAAAAGCAGACGGTTTCTGATGGCACTCGGCATCAAAAATGCTGCACGCTCTTATAGGAATAAATCGAAAAACCGAAAATTTCGTTTAGAAAACCGTCGAGATTTATGCAGGTGATATTAAATTGGAAAATATACGCGTTTATTTTGTGGTGCGATTTTCTACGTGACGGCATTATATTATATATATATTATATTTTGTATTTGCGTGCGCAAGGTGTATCGTAAATACCATTCATCGGCGAGAGGAGGACACATCCGAAAAACCGTTTTGACGATCGACGTAGTTTTCTCCGACTTCGGTGAAATATAATAATATTATACTGCTGTATATAACATTGTATAGGTACTTTGTAGGTATAGCCGGTTACAACCTACGCGTGTGTGCAATATATAATAATATGCTATACAGACGATACGATTGGATTTCCCTAAGCACTCCGAGATGAATGTTTAAAAGAGTTGGCAGTAGGTATTTAAATTGTGTGTGTGTGTGTGTGTGTGTGTGTGTGTGAGAGAGAGAGAGAGAGAGAGAGAGAGAGAGAGAGAGAGAGAGAGAGAGATAGAGAGAGGGAGAGGGAGAGAGTTTCAGTGGCAAGTCGAAAAAATAAAATAAAAATGTACTTTTCCATGTATACAAACCAATCATATTACACGCGTCCGTCTGCCTGCTTAAAGATTTAAAACTCTCTACTCTGTACGCGCTGGACTCGGCCGTGACGGTGGCACCGGCTAAACGGATCAATATTAAAAACCTTTTTTTTTATTTTCCGAAAAATGACATGCGGTACAATAAAATTCTACCAGACAACCGCGGTCAGGCATGATTATTTTCGTAATAATCAACAATTTATCAAATCTGTCATGTTTTAATCCAGTTTAGCGGTGCTCCGCGGGTGTCTTTTTTATTATTATTATCATTATTATTATCGTTTTTTTTTTATTTATTTTAGGTCGTTATATTGAACGAAGAGGTGTTGCTAAAATAAAACACCAAACTCGAAAATTCGGTTACAGATACCATAATTAAATCGGGACCACACAGTATTTCGGGCAATC